AGACCCGCGGCCTTTTGGCATACTTCTTGATTGTATTCAGCCAGTTGATACCTTACTTCCTGCGAAAACCCCCCTTTTTATAAAACCCAGTACATATACGTACTTCCCTAAAACACCTTTCGATATGGGAATGTTTTGTGACAGCTTAGCGTCAGACGCTCCGAACATGTCTCACTTTCACAGTAACGAGTCGTTTTTATTTAAGCTACATCTGCGCATATCTAAAACAACGTAATCAGTGCTCTTAGGAATAACTATACTTACTCCGTTTGTTGGTGCATAATGATACACAAATAATCACGCACCCATTCAGTATTACCCCGAGTGGTTTGGTCATTAGAGTGACCAATAGGATCTCACTGTAAATGCACAAAGATATAACCCTTTACTTAGTGACCTCAACCCTAACTCAGAACTTTGTTTACGATCACGTAATATTGAGAAAATTCCATCGATGATCTCTGTCGCTCACCTGTGAATTTCCCTAGTATGAAACTGGGTTCTTGTGTAGCCGTACCCGAGGAATTCCTTGAAAGTGCACCTTATTCCGAGCAGAATTTCCTTGTTACTTATACCCCTCTTGTTCGTTCGAAGTCCCAGTCTCTGTACCTCGCCTGTAGCCTAGAATTCATTCAAAAAAGCCACTGCTAAGCAACGTGACCTGTCAATATATTACAACATATGCCATCAGCAATACACCTTAAAGCTGGGTTACACAGTCTGCATAGGATTGACTCTTTATTCAGGTTGATTCGTTCAGCCGAGTCACCTTCCTTATCTTCGAAGGCATCCTTCTAAACTATACGGGCCTAAAGTGACGGCAAGATCTAGGCCTGCTTGGACTACCGTTCCCCAATTCTCATCTCACAGACTAGTCTACTCTTAACTTGTACTTTGTATGTGTCTGTTTTTAAGAAACGACTCACGTCCGCCTGTGGGCTGACTTAGAGTACAGAACTTTGAACTCTTCGCTCACCTGCTGCAGATGCATTGCTTGCCTTTAGGGATTCTGTTCTATGCAATCCATGTTATAAAACTCTCCTACCTGGCGCATGCTTGCATGCGCGCCCCAGCAGCAGCAGCAGCAGCTGTGTCGCCCAATATTTTTAGATTATAATATAGCGTTCAGAAAGTACCCGTTACTTTGACTTTCTATACTTTTTGCGCCTATTTTGTCTACATTTTATCGCATGGTCACTGATTGCGAGATTGGCCCCTTATTAGTCAAGTAACTGGCTAGGGACCGCAGCTAACCAACCTTCGAGCACCTGACGATCCGTAAGCAATTGACTTAACATCGTAGCTTACACAGCGCGTACATATTTGACAGTAAGTGGCCTTGTTCATGAAACTTTGCCTTAAGGATAAATGACAGGAAGCTATATTATAGGCAACATTTTATCGAAAACCCTTAGTTCTTCAGTTCCCATCTTTTATAGTCTCCCGCTCTGTAGAGAACGTTCAATTTTGCCTTATGTTACTATTTCTTATTTTAAGTTCTACCTAAAAGGCTTTTGATGGACAGCAGTAATAGTTCTTCTATAAGTTATAATTTTATTAATCGTCAGGAAGCTGTGGGGTGATGAAGTATAAATCTGTGTAGGATAGTTTAAAAGCGTACCAACCTCTGGATTTCAGAACCAACAGCCTTTCTCCATCATATAGTTTTGTTCGGCGAAGGAATTGACTGTAGTTCCGATGTATTTCTCCAAATGAACAATATGTTCATTATCCGCCTACATACTTGATTGCTGTTTCTGCGACAACTAAGTAAATGAAATTCTTTAACCTATTAAGCTTTAGTTATGGCGCTGGCGAATGCGATAAACAGCTCGTATGCTGTTCGTACCGTTTCACCTTCCACTTCTCATTGTCCAGACAGTAAGCCATTGCATTTTATCTCCGTCGCCATATATTCCACACAGTAGATAACAACGTACATGCACACGAGACATTGCCATCAATATTAGGCGAAGGGGCACATCTCCGGCACACTAGCGAACGCATAAGGGCAAAAGAATGCATGCTCTGCTTAAGCAACTCTGACCTAGGTTTTAAAATTCCTCTGGAACTACTGTTGGAAAACGAGATTATCTAGAGCACCCAATTTATTGCAGATGTAAAGCTTTTAACTTCTTTTAACACTGCATAACCAAAGCTATGCTTATCTCCTGCTGCCAAGGCATGCAAAGAGCTCTCCATCATTCTAAAAAAATTTAAGAACATAATCAGACACCTCCTTTATATGCATTTAGTTCAACAGTACCTGAGATAGTGTTTGCCTGCTTTTTCTCTATGTCATTCATAACGCAGGGGTTTCACAACAATCATGGCATCTTGTTTATTTTTTACTTTGTTGTCTATAAGACACTATAGGAGACCCGACTTCACTACCCGAAATGTGTAACATCAATGGGATAACTGGCTTACGACGAAGCTGTGCACAAAAACGTCGCAGCCGTCGTCGCAAGTCAATCAGACTTCAGTTACAGTACATATGTTATCTCGTGCAATGTTAACCGAATTTGTAAAATGGGTTTTCGATTAGAACAGTTTTCTTTAGCATTATTATATTATATACCAGGGCAAGTGTGTCCTGCATATGGTCGGTGTAGACATACGTGCTAAGATATTGTAATATATGTATTTACTGTGCATATATCTTATATATAATTATATAATCCCAAGATATTTCAGTCACGTCTTAACACCGACTTTGAACACACTTCATTCCGGGCGCCTTCGAAAACTATCATTTGCGAAAAATGACTACTTAAGTGGCATGCAATTTTTCCATTTAGTAGCAATACCCCTATAAATTAAACTTTACTTTGCAGAAAGCATGCATTGAAAACATTCATTACCATACTCATTTGGTAGTACATTACGTCTTTTTCACATTTTATTCTTGGAGGAGGCTATCTTTCGGTTTGAAAAATCGAAATTCCTTAATAAACTTGAAGCAAACGTGCTGTTACACTCGAATAAAGGGTTTCCTAAGTACGTGCTGTGTACTTTTCGCACAAGGATAATCCTACATTTATATACCCTCATCAAAAGTGGTAATATAGGTCTCGTAAAATTTTGCAATGGATGTGGACCATGTTGTATACTTCACAAGCAGCATTAATAAATGGAAAGATACGATACGTTATGAATAGACATCTCACTGTCTGAAAAAATCTCATTTATACTTGAAGTATAAACTTCAACGACATCATTTGCTACCACAAGAATACGTTTGTGTATGTCTCCTAGTATAGTACTTGAATTAAAAATGGCCTTGAAAATAAACGGAAAAATGCATGCTGTTTGAGTAGTTATTTATGTAGAACATATCCTTTGAAGGTGGCCGAAAACAAGCTTTTTGAAAAGCCGGCATCCTGACAAGGCAGAAGTATTTTATGACTATGTTGTACGATACTTAATCTTAAAACCCTATTTAAGTGATCGAAAACAGATTATAGAATTTCGGTTGACATCTAATGAGAAAGCGAATCTACTCTGTATCTATCAAGTTGACAGGCGCAATCTCCGCTGTGTAGTTGCGATTACCCTCTGTGTGCATTTAAGCAGTATCTGGATTCCGCGTAAAATTTTATT